ACTGGAATTCACAGCCACATGACTTAAAACCAGAAGACCAGCTTCGCATATCATTGCATACTACTGGACACTGGTTAAAAGATTTCTGTACGCTACCACATGATCAACACAACGCTACACTGTCACTGGGTTTTGCTGCTCCACGATGAACAAATGATAGCTACTTGTGTCTGTTTTTACGCAGTTGTTTTATCAAAGGTGTGCTTTCACGTGGTGTCCACATTCTGTGAGGTGGGAAAAACAGGGGAAAGAGTGAATCGGTGGGGGTGACTGAAATACACCTGATGGTGTGCAATATTTCATGGTCATTTAATTTATCCGTTCCATGCTATGTACAGGTATTGTTGCAGTGGTGTCTGACGTGTGTTTGACACGAATATTTGTATGTTAGTGAAAAAAGAAGTTAACACGCTCCCAAGGTTTTTCAAAAATGGTCTCCGAAATAGTTCCCGCTTTGTAACAAGCACTACGTTTCTATCCTGATGTTGCGACGCAACCGCCATCATGACAACCGCCGTGGCACTTAAAATGGTGCGAATAGAAGAACGTTTGTGATTGGCCCAGTGCACGGCAAGGGCCTGTTACTGAGAAGCGCATTGGTTTACTTTTGAACCAGCGCGTCATTCCGGACAATGTGATGCTCCCCTTCCCGAAGCCAAAGTGCGCCTCGAAAAGAGACATTGTGGTATACGCCATAGGGGAGACATCAAAGCCATCTTATGACGTTTCGTTTAATTCGCATGATAATGGCTTCATGTTCGTACATTTCTTTTGTAAACATAGAGTTTCTAGCTTTCGCAGCATTTATTGCAAAAGCCTCTCGACAAATTGGGCTGTTGCAAAAATGCAGAACGCACGCGTTGTAAAAAAACAAGGCAAATTGAATATATTGCTTGCATAGTGGTGAGTGTGCAGTTCAATGAGAGTTCTTCCGCAGGAGCGGCTACTTTAAATAAAAGTTCTGACCTTGTCAGAAATATTTCGAGACAACTGGCATCACAGATCGAATCGTACGTGTCTGATCTAGTCATACGTTAAATGTACAAAACGGTGGCATGCACCCTTTAAGACAGGCATATTTACAGTTACCTACCTATTCTATTTGACACAAGTGGGTAGAACAATGCAGTTCCCCATAAACTGAGCACTTAGCAGAATGGCCAAAAGCTCGGCCTCCCACAAGTTTTGCCATGACAGTGTGTTTACCAGTTCCCCCCTAAACCCGGTGCAACGTTAATGAGAAAGTGACTTCTCGAAATCACGATCACTGTCTTGAGCGTAGCACACATCAACGGAAAACCAAGCACAGGTAAACGCTGCAGTGTGGTTGGTCGGTTTTGCGTACTTGACCAAGCAGTCGTGATTTCGCTGTGCCACGTTAGGCCGTTACGGATGAATGTGAAGAGGAGAGCGGTGGGAAGGCCGGGGCGTCGGCTATACCGCCAGCACAGCGTATAAAACACAGGCATGCTTGCAATCGACGTCCAGTCACCCGCCTCGCTCAGCAGCACCAGGTAAGTGTCTAGAGCAGCGCCGCTGCCAGCTTTGGATAGCTTTACCACCGTCAGTTGCTGGCTTCCTAAGCTTCCGCATTTTTCCATGCGACAAAAACAAAAATGACTAGTGGCATAAAGTTGATCTGCAAAGAGAACAAAACACTATGGTAGATTCATGAAGCAAGCCAAAATGTTGGAACAAGTCAGAACTATAGGTTTTCGGACGTCTTGCTCCTGCTATGTCCCCGTTGCATGATCCGAAGCTATCCGCTTCCAGGTCTGCATTGCTTCGCTTCGCTTGGTTTTAGGCTTTACTCGGCGTCTGCAATAGGACGATGACATTTTGACAATACAGAACCGCTTCTGAGTTACAATCGGCGGTATTGTAGGTATGTTTTGAATCAGTTGACGCCAACGACTAGGTTATGCTTGATCTTGTTGGTGCGAACTCAGCTGGCCACCCGTCCCGGCAGCTGACACCTGGCCTGTTCTGCCTCTCAGGTCACCATGAAGCGGTTCGTCATCCTGCTGAGCGTCGTATGCGCCGTCAGCTGCGGCAGAAGCTACGGCAACAGGCGCAACTTCGGCGGCGGCGGCAAGGTGTCCCGCGGCGGCGGAGGAGGCTTCGGGGGTGGCAGTGGTGGTGGTGGTGGCGGTGGCGGTGGCGGTGGCGGCGGCGGCGGCGGTGGCGGTGGCGGTGGCGGCGGTGGCGGCGGTGGCGGTGGCGGCCGCCCCTCAGGAGGAAACTTCGGAGCTGGACATCTGGGAGGAGGAAGCCTTGGCGGAGGCGGGGGCCTTGGTGGAGGCGGAGGTTTTGGTGGAGGCGCAGGCTTCGGCGGAGCTCAAAGCACTGGCTTCGTGGGCGGAGGAGGACACCGCGGCGGAGGCTTAGGTGCCGGCGGTCACCGCGGAGGAGGCTTTGGTGCAGGGGGTCACCGCGGCGGAGGCTCTGGTGCCGGCGGTCACCGCGGCGGAGGTGGCTCCTACGGGGGCGCGGGTGGTTTCGGAGGAGGTCTGCTCGGCGAGGCGGGAGGATTCGGTGGCGGCGCTTCACTGGGTGGAACGGGAGCCGTCAGCAATCAGTTCGGAGGCTTCGGAGGTCACGGCTCGGCCACGGGATCCGCCGCCGGTAACGTCGTCTCGGGTCAGACGATACACCCGGGAGGCCTAACTTCAGTCACCAGCACGGGCTCCCACGCTAGGGTGAGTATTACGGAATGTTGCTGACAGGTGCCGTAAGCCGGCTTGAAAGGCTTTTAAGCTATACTCCAACTTCATAGCACTAATGAGAAGAAGCTTTGAAAGACGTGATGTTTCACTAGACATGTAGAACAAAAGCCCCTGCCTGCATTGGTAGATTGTACAGTCCATTATTTATGTGATGTAATGAAATAGAGTCCCGTGCTTAATCCTGTTCCACCACCCAGCGTGCAACGCTCGCGTTCTTTGTTGGCAGGGGTCGGCCTCGGGCGGCGGGGACAGCTTCAACAAGGCACACGCCAATAACGCCCAGCTCAGTGGCCTCCTGGGGCAGCTCTCGACCTCCAACACTGGAGCCGTCTCGCGTCAGAGCGGTGGGGGAGGCAAATATTGGAAGTAAACAGGTGGCAATCACAACCAGCACCAGACAAGCGCTCGATACTGCTAACCAGTAGCCGACCAAGAGCAAGACGCGGCCAGCGGAGTGCAGAGCTTATCAGAAGCGGGCTTTGAACACCAATCCCTCCATGGAAACGACGCGCTTCTGCGCACGTTCGAACCTTTACTTCATGTGATGCCAACTCGCATTAGCCCGTTGAGCAATACACGATGAATAAGACCAGTGACGCTTCGCCGATTACGATGACGACGATGACGATGACGATGACGATGATGATGACGATGATGATGACGGACTGATCACCTGAAGGTCTGTGC